GATGTCTAATTCTCCAGATGCCAAAAAATGCATGTTGCTGTCCTACTGATCGAAGCGATTCACATTTGTGACCACTACCATATCTGCTGATCAGCATGTGCCAGCCTCCCTCCTTTTTTGATATTAGGGCCGGTGTTTTTTGGCAGTAACTGCAGTTGCAGCATCGCATTACTTTGAGCCCGTCCCAATCATACAGCATTCTGCACATTAATAGCTTTCACGACAAGTGCTTCCCATTAGGTCACCAGATACATTGATACCTTAAGACATGCTTAGCAGGATCACCTTTATACATGCATACGTGCATGTATAAAAATATTTGCTACAAACGACTGGGAAATTGAGTTTACTTTAAGAAGTATAAGGTATAGAAGTAGCTAGTAATACTGCAACTAAGTTATAGTCTACTCAGCAGAGTTAAGTGTGTAGTGGAACAATTGGTGATAAAGTTATGTAGAATGATCCTGAAGAAAATAGCTGGTTAACAGAACTAGTTATGCTAAATTTTCATGGGGTATGCGTCAGACATCGAAAAGTAACCCATCAGCTTATGTTATATTAAAAATACTGCGAAATGTTATATAGTTATACATTTTAGAAAAGTATGTGAGAAAAGGTATTTGTTGACTGAGTAAAGCCATTTCAATACAAAAATAGCAGTGTATTATAAATTATGTATATGTAAATTAGTGAAAGGTGTGGCTGCTAATATAACTGTTTCTAGAATTACCTACACTAACAAAGCTTATTGAAGATTAAGGAGAATGTAAAATAAGTAAATTACTTAGACGTTCGCTGAGTAAGTTGTAGAGTGACTATGTTGAAGACTGGACTGGCTTTCATTCACAATTATACCAACAGTTGTTGTTCTTTAGACGAGCTAGAATGGACATGTTAATGTCTTTGTAGGCTCTTTTTTAACACATCGGCGTTTTCACAAGATCCATTTTCAGAAGGTAGTTGGTTCCAAAGAGAGCAATATTTAATGGTGAAAAGATTTGCCTTAATGTTTTTTCTGCGGGTGGCCACCTTGAGAAGGTATTCGTGGTTTTGCAGCTCATATGATTTGATATTTGCCCACGTTATGGATGAGTTACTGTAACATTGTATCCTAATGACTTTGAAGAATAGAAATAAATTGCACTTCACTTCCTTAACCATAGGGGTTCTAATTTCAGACGTATACACCTGTCAGCATATTCCACTTGTTGGTCAAAAACTATTATGCGTTTCGTGAGGATTCTCTTTCGACCTTTTTCCTGTTTGCACACCTTAAGTTACTAAATAGAGGAGCACAAATTCAAGTTTGGGGCGGATACATGTCTTATGTATAGCTTATCTTGCTTCTCGGGTGTAAAAGTTAGGCAGTACAAAACCAGAATGTCGCTTACAGTCAGATACTGCCTTATTTGCATGATCGGAAAAGGTTAAATCCGAGTGTGTTATCCCGAGATCTGTGACTGTGTTCAGTTTTTAGAGGAGTTTACCGTATATTTATAGACACATTCTCGGTTTCCAGCGTCCAGGTCGGCTATACCGCACTTGTTTAGGTTGGAAGCCAGTCGCCACATTTCGCTTCAATCGCCAGATTGTTTAAGTCATCATGGATCTTGCTTTCGACGCTCATATCATCGTACCCATTATCGTATACTATTTTAAGATCATCTGCAAAGAGGTACGGCTTGCCACATCTGATCACAGAGCCTATATCATTTATGAATAAGAGGAGTAGAATAGGGCCAAGAACACTTCCTTGTATTACACCACTAGTTATCGGCTTTGATGAAGACAGCTGGTGGATGATTTCGAATGACTGCTATCTTTCTGTGAGAAAAGTATTTATCCACCTGAGAAGTTTTCCAGTTATTCCGTAGGATTGGAGTTTTGTTAGGAGTCTGATATGTGGGACTTTATCGAAGGCCTTGTTAACATCGAGAAATAATATTGTTACCGAATGCCCATTATCCATACACTGTGTAATATATAGTCAAAATAATCTAAGTGGCAAGTAATGCACGACCTTCTACTTAAGAAACCGTATTGGGATGGGGATAGTAGGTCATTTGACAGCAAGTACTGAATGATTTGAGTCTTTACTATGTTTTCCATTACACGTGAAACTCCAGAAGTGATATTGATGGGGCGGTAGTTGTTGATATCAGCTATAGGCCCGCATTTATGGATAGGTACAATATAAGACTTCTTCCAGCAGGTGGGGTATGTCCCATTGTTAACTATGGGGTCAACAATCTACTCCAGTCACTCAGATGACAATTACGAGCACACTGATGCAGTCAGCGGCTTTCATGATATCAAAAACAGAGAGAACAGATGTCCTCGTGTATAGTGATGACAGAAAGATTCAACTCAGGGGGTAGGAATGTAACTGTTACAGACGCATCACGAATATTTTGAGGAGACAGACATGCAGTCCTCGACCAAAGTGAAATAAAACCAAATGGTTCCAAATAGAACTATATTGATAACAGAATGTCAAAGAGCTGAAAGATTGTTTTTCTAATAAACGTAGTGTATCAGGTAAACATGGTACAAACCTTCAAATGTCAAGTTATCTGGTATCCAAACAAAAAGAACGCAGCAGTTGAACTCAAAATCGGCTCGCAATTAACAGAATGTGAATTCAAGCAGGAAGTGTGCAGTGCAATGAAACACAAACGGTCTAATTAACACAAAATTCAAAATGGCATATGAAGTGCAACTTTGTTTGAAGCTGGTAATATTACCAGTAACACTTGCAGTCATCCAGTGCTACTCAAGTACATAAACATAGATCAAGAGAAGAGGGGAAGATTCTGCAGACGGGTTCAAATAATAATGGACACGGCCACAACAAAATATTGTGATCAAAGTCCTAATAGGTGACATGAATGTTTTGCCGGGAGCAGGTAATTCAGGAAGGGAACTCACCATGGGTTGAGAAGCTTTCGACAAAATGAGTAACAATGGATAACTCTTCTCAGACTTATGAGCATTCAGTGATTTGGCTGGCGTTCGGATGTGGCCTTTGTAAGCACAAGGATGTATACAAGTTGGAGTTTGTTTCATCAGATGGCTACTCGAAAACTCAGATAGACTTCACAGCAACATCAAAAAATGGAGATGCAGCTAAGAAGCGGAGCAGATATATGCTCAGGCCGTTATCTAGTGCAAGGAACAGTTAGGGTCAAGCTTAAAGCCTGATGAGAAGCTGGGGATAAGCCACAGTTTAATTCCGACACTCAGAAACTGAAGGACGAAACAGCAAGACACCTTCACTGCAGCAGCCAGAGCAAAGCTGCAGATTTCACATAGCATCTGTGCGGAAACCTGTGCAGAAGAACACTGAAAATTTCTGAAGGCGATCAAACAAAGAGGAGAAGCGAAAGGAACGCTTAATAGGCGTTGCAATGAACGCCATCTGCAACTTGCCTAAAAATAACACCAGCAGTCACCGGAGCAGCAGTGAAAACTGATGCTCCGGAGAAGCCAGAAACCCTGAGTGCCGTAAAGTTACTAGATGGAATTCCCGAGAAGAATTGGAAAAGGACCCAGAGGCCTCAGTAGATATGCCTTTGTCACCAATGCAGAAGTTTGGGAAATGTACTACCTGACTGAAAAAGGCCTACGTTTTGGAATTACCAAAGGAGGGCAACTTAAGCCTTTGAGAGAAATGCTGCGGAATTATGCTCTTGTTTACTCGAAGTAAAATAATTAATCCCCCTGTCTTGGAGGAACTAAGAAAATGCTCTGAGTGCGGAACTTCACACAAAACAAGCTGGTATCAGGAAAAGCAAATCATGTGTGGATTAAATTGAAGCGCCACGTGTCATCATCAAGCAGAACATCGAACGGCGGCCGAATTTGTCTTTACCTCATACCTTCATAGATTTCGGAAAAGCCTTCAACAGCATTGATTATGTAATTTCGAAATAGATTTAGCACTATGAATTAACACAAACTTTTATGAATACCACTCAACAACTATGTAATGATGCTGTATGGGATCAAAGAATTTCATCAAATAAATTAAATCCCAGGCGTCTCATCTTCAACGATCATTTTTCGCCTTGGGGATTGAAACACATATTGGTCAGTGGGTTTTCTGAAGATAAAACCTTAGCGACCTTATTGTGGTGTGTTAGTGTACCTTTGCACTCTTTTCATTTCATCGTTGATAAACACCTCTTTGGATAGTCGGAGTAGTTTTAAAAAAGGCCGGGCTACCGGGTTAGATAGACCAGGCTAAAGAGTCAGCAGGAAGTGTGGCCAAAGCTCAGATGCAGCGGAAGAGATGGCCACACAGCGATCAAGAGTGCTATTTTCGGTTGGAGCCAACCGAAAGCATGCTCGAATCTGTCAAGCGGCCTAACTACTCGGTTTCCTGAAATGTCACGCAAGGAGTGACTGACAACAGAAATCTCAGCGAAGCGTTTGAAATGAAAGCGAGAATGAGAACAGGCTGCTCACGATTCTGACTCTGGTGGACTTAATCAGGCGGCAGACTGCAGAGAGAGAAAAGACTAGCAAGCCTTGAACCAACAGACGTCCCCACTATTCTGAACATCATGAGTGATTTATTTCTAATTACTAGCGAACTTGATGATCTGCAGGCCCTGTGTTCCACTTGGAGTCCAGTGGAATAACAACTCCCTCATCTCATAAATTAAAGTTCAGCAGTGGCCAGAACCTCAGCTGAGGTATTACTTATGGGAAATATTAGGGTTTCGGACACAGAAGGCGCGGAATTGTTTTCTCAAACATCTCTGCTTAATTTGAGACCATGTTAGCATTCTGAATCCTGGGTAGTGGTTTGTGTTAACTTATCTTCACTCTCAGTCTTCTCAGTGTGACTAGGGAGAAGTCATCTCAGAGTTTGAACATTGCGGTTGAGTCGTTAACGTATCAGTGCTTTTCCTCATATAGTTCTTTTGGCCAATGAGATTCTTCAGTGGATAGCGTAGTTTTAGAGTTCTTAATTAATTGATTCATGTAAAGATCACCCCAGTACTTAGAAGTGAATTGAAAAGATTAATACTAACCCGAAAACCTATTGCTTTTAAACTGAATAATGTATCAGTACTTGAATTGGACACATTGAGCATATATTCATCTTTATGGACTTTTTTAAAATTCATACAAGTTTCTGTTTGTCATGGTCCCATGGCGTTTGTACTTCACGTACATTTCAATAACTATAGGCAGCTCTTTCGTTTTCGGCTATCATACGGGAGTTATTAATGCTCCACTTTCGGTAAGTTTATTAGAAAGAATTTTCATTCAAAAAGCTTATACAAAACTTTACTCGTAAAGTAATCGACGACAAAAATTACGTATGTGGTTCATCATGCGTGAGAACAATCGTGTCATTCTGCGTAACCGCTTTTGTCATTGGTGGATTAATCGGTGGTCTTTCGGGTGGAATTATTGCGAACAAGCTTGGTCGGTATGTTTTTATATTAAAAGTTATATGTCACCTTAGAAAAAAAACTTTATTGGTTCTCTCAATTCCGACAATTATAGGATCCGTACTTATTATGATTTCACTGGCAGTAAATTCCTTCGAAGTAATCATACTTGGCAGATTCATAGTTGGTGTTTCCGCAGGTATTCCAGAAATTGTGATATATGCATCAATTCACTTCAGGGGCTTATACTGTTGTGGCTCCTAACTACCTGTCAGAAATCGCCCCACTGTCGTCTCGAGGTGCAGCGGGCACACTGAATCAATTCGTTATCGTGTTTGCCATTCTGCTATCTCAGATCTTAGGTTTATCTCAAGTCATGGGAACAGAAACTTTATGGCCGTATTTATTGGGTAATAATAACTATATTGATGTTTGAGTTTTAGGTCTGTGTGCCCCTGTTTGTCTCTTGCATGTCATTTGTATGTTGTTTTGCCCTGAAAGTCCGAGTTACTTATATTTGATCAAAGGTGATAAGGAAGCTGCAAAAGATGGTATTTTCCTGTACTATTTTTTAATAAGGTTGCAGCCCTCCTGATTCTCAGAGGTAAAAACTATGATGTTCAAATGGAACTAGACTCAATTCAGCACGATATGGAGTACGCTGGAGACAATCAATTGTCAATGAAAGACTTCTTCCAAATACCGTATTTACGATGGGGATTGTTTGTCGCACTTATTCCACACTTCGGACAGCAATTATCTGGAATTAACGGTGTAAGTTCTCATTAAAAACTACTACATTTTTAAACATGTAAACCAATATTCAACGGCCTCATTCTTCCGCTTGGCTCAGTATATCTGCTGGTTTGTCACTTTCATGAATATTCTGTTTCTTTCGAAAAATTAAATATCTCGTCATTTTGAGAAAAGTAGTTAGGTGGTATTGCAGCTATTTGTTATTTAAAATTAAGTGTTTTTTCTCTTCTGGGTTGTTGCCATTTAGTGAAATTAATTTCTGGTGCAAATATTGGTTTCATATACTCCTCGCAGTAATTGTTAACGTTTTTTTCGTAAGCAGTCAAGTTTCTCCTGTTACTTTGTAGTCAAGATATCATCGTCGTCATTTTCGTCACTTTCCAATTAAATCGTCTTCATATAGGGATTTCTGTGTAGTAAAATTTGTAACAAAGTGAAAAAGCTGTTTCATAATAAAACTTTTGCATGCTAAGGCCTAGTTAGTAATCTACTGAGAAACGATTAACTGAGACTCACAAAACAGATGAAACTTAAGTTTTCTCAAGGTTCCATGTACAGATTACTAATGTATTATACTTTGATAAAGCTATTAGCATTAAATAGCGAAACTTCAGTAAAAACAATATCGTTTTGTTTTTCATTCATTGGGAAATACAAAAACCTTTATTATAATGAAATTACTTATGTGTCAGAAAAACACCGACTTAAGACTGGTGTAATCAAATTAAAGTGCGTCATGGGGCAAAACACTGTTGTATCACCTTTACTTTGCTACAGAACCGGTAAATTTTTGTCAGTATTCAAAACCGAAAGTCTACGTCTGTTACAAATCGGCGACAAATTATTAAGAATTTGAGCTGCATTGCTACCGGTTTGTACTGTTTTGGAAATCTCTTCATTAACTACTTCAGTGATATCTAGTTTATCAGTATTTCAGGTATTTAGGGTTGTGAATTTACTGATCTACTGAAGGCTGTCACTGATACTTGGGGACAGAATTTTCAGCAGTGTATTATATTCTTGCCACTAGAATAAGCTACAACTTAATATCCTTTTAAATTATACGCAGAAAAAAAGACAAAATATTTGTGAAATTCTTCCATAACTGTACGGCCCCCTATTTAATCTGCAGGTAAAATCAAACAAATTTACACTTTAAGCTTGCACAGTGTTTTTGCTCGAAGAGCAAGGGACAAACAGTAATACTCTTTTAGCTCAGTAGAATTCACTGTAGGTTTTTAATTATATGTTAAACGTATCATTAATCTGCATCCTTCATCACTTATATCATTTATTTTATTGTCAAGAATACCTAATAATACCGAATCACTCTTATTCATTGTTTTCTCAGACTGGTTTTGTTTACTGAATTGGACTTTAAATGCATCTTTTTTCCCCACTTTGTTTTCATCTATTTAGTATGTATGAATGCTTGTTTATTCAATGCATAAGTTCTTGGTACACAAATCATAGCAACCTTTGAATAAATAACTAATATTTTCAGGTGTGATCATGATTCTATTTAAGTAGCTATAATCCAGCGGTCAAGTTTGCAAGTACTTGGTTCAGACATCTGGCGCAAAGTTACTACTAGTAGATCAACACTGGGGTACTGTCGTTGAAGTTATTATGCTTTTAGCTGCATCCCTCAATACATTATGCTTGAAAAGGAAATACAAAGCGTAAAGAACATTTGTTTCTATTGCTTACTCAATTTCATATGGACAACTGACTGTATGAAGAGTAAGAAACTGAACCATAATAAGTAAAAGTCGTAAGGTTTGCAAATAATGTTCCATAAACTGTTAGTGTGAGCACTTTTTCTGAATTGATGAAATTCTATTTTATCCTGCACATTTGAAGATAATTAAGCTATTTTATTGACCAGCAATTTGTTAAACGTACAAGGGAAACCGCAGTGACAAAATTCTGTGTGTTTAGGCATAATTTGTAGAACTCTTCAGATAGTATAGTGAGGATCGTGGCTAGGCATTTTTGGCAAGCCTATTGAATTTCGAAGATCAATTTTACTACTGTTCAGTTGAGTACTTAAAACTGTTTACTGCCACCTAGATAGCGATATATAAACCCCCTCATGAAAATAACATGTGTAAATTTTACTTTTATATTATTTAAGATTACAGAGCCAAAAATAAACATGAGAAAGGGGTAGGGCACATTTCTGCCGTCTAGACTCCGTTAGATCCACTCAGCAGAAGGCAGACGATTTGATTAAATAACTATGGGAACCCTATGTTAGTTTTTCTTGTGAGAAAAGTAGTGAGTTTGTAGATTTTACTTTGTACAGATTTTACTCTATTCCTTACTCTTGTTCAAGAATCTGCAGAAAGTCTCCATGTTAGCCGAATAAAACCTATTTATAATTTATATAATTAGAACAATTTTATTTCTCATAACCTTTATGGTTTAAACTGATAATATGATAAAACTTATGAACCTAGATGGATAAAAGCTGTTTCTGGGAAGAAACTTGAGAAATTGAATATTCTCCTAGGAATTGAGTAAGAATCAGAGGAGAATGTTCACATCGATAAAGTAGCTGAGACATGTGATATGCATACGGCACTGACTTCCTCGGTCAGTAATGCCAGCTGCACTGTGGTTAAGCTAAAAAGTGTGAGGGTGGTCAACAAAATTGACATCATTCTATGAGGTAGGTAACTAGTGATTTGGCTACACAGAGAGGCATGGATTACATTGTTGGCGTCCTTGGGATACTAAAAGTCAATAGTTGAAGACTGACAGTAATAGGGATCAAAATTGTTCTCAGTGGGCGAGGTGCGTTAACTCATATTCATCATTCAGATTCTGAAATTTTTCACTATTCTACTTCTAATTTTTCTCTTTCTTGTACATCTTCGTCCACTGTAATTCTATTGCATGTTTTCTCTACTTTAATGTGTACTCCTTTGAAGTGTGATAAATTTAGCTGGTATACTTTCGTACAGGGTTCTACGTCGACTAGCCAGTTAGTAACTTGTTGAGCCTATCAAATACTGAACGGTATCTCAGATTTTACTTCGTTTGTATCATTTCATGTGAGATTCACCATTGTTTATGTCTCTAGTTAGTGATAATATCATCCATTGTTACTTTATATCTTTAAAGGGTAGCTTTTGTGCTTGACGCATTTATATTAAAGTGCGTCAGTCAGATTAATAAATATTCATACTCATACATCACAAGCTAAGTTTTTCCCAATTCTGTGCAATTTTACTGTTTCCATAAATTGTTTCGCCATTCATATTACCAAGAGACTTAGAAACTGGATAAAGTCCTCAAACTAATAGTGTTTAGTTTTATATAATATCTTATCAATGAATATTTATGTCATGTGTTTGTTGCGAGAAAACTTTTCTCTTTCTAAACTCTGCTTATGCATATGTAACAACTCGATGCAAGAAGCACATAAGAATTTATAAGCGAAAAATGTCCAACTGCTCCGTTAGAAACTTTCGTTATATACATCATAGCGATGATTTGTTTAAATTAATTTAGCATTTCCCGTTGCTTGATTGTATTAGATCGAAATATGTGGTGTCTGACGTGTCGGCTCCTAGAATGGACGCTTCTGCGATGTTTGAAGATTAATATGGTGTTATTTGGTGGATGGTGACTAGCCGTGGAATCCAGGATGCACTTACTAGATGATGCTTCGGTGTTTGAAATGATGGGTGTTTGGTTTGAGTCGCACTGGTAATACTATCACTCATCGGGGATTTTAGGCACATCCAGATGACGAATTCTAAATAGGACGAAATGTTCCCCCTCTATTGCACTTCTAGCCACTGTCCACCAAATATGGTCATGATGATGTCTATAGATGATGTAGCATTATCCCCTTGGGTTCCGAGTAGATCATATGGCTTCAGCATCACACCTCTGTTTCAACCTGTTCTCAGTGATCTTTTCAGCAGACCCCCGATTACTTACAAGCTTCCATTTTCTCTCCCGACAATCTCTACCATGTCAGACTCGAACGCTCAACTCCTTACTTCCCATTCGGTTCCACTCGAGGACTTGCCTGTAGTGCGACGTCAATCAACGGTCTTCTCAGGGTGTGTCCGATCCATCTCCAATTCCTTCAGCATATTTCTTGTGCAATAAGTTCTTGATTAGTTCGTTCCTAGAGTTCTTTATTGCTTATCCTTTCTCTCTTTCTGATCTACTGCACTGAACGAAGGCAGTAGAAGAATTCTTACTTCTTCTCTTGATCTGAGTTGTTTGTGGGCATGTAGTATTGGATAATTTTAAATTTCCTACGAATCTTGCTGTCATTATCTTGCGGGAGGAGATTGGTTCCCACTGCATAAGGGCCTTGGCTGCTGTTTGTGACATCATGATAGCTACTCACTCCCTCAGTGTGCTCATGGTTGTCATCTGAGTGACTGGCGTAGATTGTTGACCCTATAGTTAACAGTTTGCAGATTCCACTTCCATTCCATTTGATCTCACGGATTCTCAGCACCTCTGCATCATTTCTTCTCACTTCATTTGCAAACTGAGCAGCCCTCCCATCCAGCTTGGGACTTCGTGTGGACATTCATTTTGCCATGCTTATTCTTACTACACGGTAAGAAGACACATCATGTGACTGGGTTGACTTCACCAGGTGTGTCATTCCATTTTTCTGATTCTGACAAAAACTGAGTTTAGCTTTTAATTTTTCGCTAAGCTTTCAAGTTTCTGGTTGGTATGTTCACTAGCCTCACACCAAACCTTCCCTCTTTTCCCGAATTCCTAAACTTGGCGAGGTTGATGATGTGGAATATTTAGAGTATTTCCTTTTGGTTGCTAAAGTCAGCTTTTTATAACTGAAAAGATATACGAGAACATGTGATCAGACAGGTTTTGGGAGGGACAAATAACTGTTCCTTTTTGGATGTTATTAGAAATTTGTCTTAATTTTAAGGCACAGTATTTTTAGATTTGCTACACAGTCATTTGTTATTATTTCCGAAGTAATTCTTTGGAGGAAATTCATCTTTCAAGTTCATACCACTGATACAGAAATTGTTAGTAAATTTCAATCTGAATGTTACTCAGAAAACGTTATGAAGTTCCTGTGACAAAATCAACGAATGGACTAATACTGGCGTACTAGCTTCAAATCTTTCAGGGTATACAAGCATACTGGGTTTTTTTATTATGTTCATCTTTATGAGTTGCTTTACTACTTATGCTGCAACCTTTACTCAACAACTCTAACATTTTGCTTACATCTGCTCTAAGTATCATCGACTTTTGTAGGGTGTTTGAATGTTTGTAAAATATTCAAGTATAACATGGTCATTCGTTGTAATTAAAAATACCATTTTGAATGATTACGTTTGCTGACAACTATTTCACGTAGTTATTCTTCCAGTGATTATGTAATTAAGGATGCTGATTAAATATCATTCATCTGAAAAACATGAAACATAAAATGTAAAACATGACTCTATCACCTCGAGCTCATTAGAAATTCTAGGCAAATCATAGCAAAAACACTTTACTTACCTCAGCTAAATTATCATAATTTTGGGCATTTTTCATTTCCATTACTTATTCGGTTACAAAATAAAAAACGTCCTCAGAATTCATTTTATAATAAATTTTGTGACATATACTCTTCAGGAAGGTAAATGGCATTATGACAGTCATTAATGCATGTTAAGAAAGAAGTAATTCACTTAATTTACTCCAGATGGCAAACGTTTTTAAGGTTGCAACTCCTTTAAGTGCCTATAAGTGTCTCTTTTGACCTAGGGACTGTTTTAGACTTTATTTAATTCATTAGGTTGTTGGCAATTAAAGACAATGTATATTTTCATTATGCTTAAATGGTTTCTATCATTTATGAAATGAGTATTATATCAGTAGGTATTTCAAATAGATTAAACAAGTGAAGTTGTAAATGCAAGTCGGTTTTCATGTATCTAAATTTTTTATTCGAGCAAGCATCATAAGTTTAGAATGTAAATTACCGTTTTAACTTCAGTTGTAAATGTTTATTTTCATTTTGATCACTTTAGATTCTATATTATTCTGTTCCACTGTTTGAAAGTATTGGTCTTAGCAATAAAGATGCTACTTTAGTAAATCTCGGAGTTGGAGCAACTATTCTATTAGGTACTATTATATCAATATTTATTATTGACCGAGGAGGCAGACGTGTACTTCTGTTGATTGGTTTTTCAATATGTCTGTTCAGTCTGATTTCATTTACGACAGTTCTTGCCGTCCAGAAGTTTACAGGAACACTTTGGCTTACATATATCGCTATTCTTATAATATATTTATTCGTTTCGGGATTCTCTATTGGACCAGGTAATTAAACAGCCAGTTTTAAAAGTTTATTCGTATTAAACACGGTGATTTTTTAAAATTATTCTCATTTCTATGGAAGTTGAGTTAAATTATATCCTTAAAACATAAGTGTAATCTTAGTGGTATATAGATTATTTTTGTGGGTGATTAACATTACTACAAACTTATAATAATGTTACATTTCATCTTAAACAATGTCATGATTGTATAATTTTCTCTTTAACTCCTGTCGAGTATTGTTCATATCAGTAAAACGTGCCCAGTGAAAACAAAGGAGACCGAAACTTTAGTGTTGGATTAAGTCTCTAAATGCAAAATACGACAGAGGTGAAATATTTAAGTTGTACAACTATCATTTTAGTCACAGGACTTCGTCATGAACTGATATCGGTTAGAGAATCACTGGAAAAATTGGGACTACTGAACAGCTGTTTCGTCCTATTTTGGGAGCTTTAGGCAGTATGCATCCACCGGGGTCCAAACCCAGGACCGGGCTCCAGTGACTTAATGGTCTACGAGCGCGCCTTGTGACCAGAAGGTCCTGACTTCGAACCCCGGTGGGCGAGTACCGTTGAAGGGTCCCAAACTAGGACGAAATAGTTGTCTAGTACTCCCAAGTTTTCCCATGGTTCTCTAACCGATGTCAGCTCATGATGAAATCCTGTAACCAATCAAATCAAATCCCTGAAAAACAACACTCGAATGTCATTTCAGTCGCTCAAACATTTTAGCTATGCTAAAGAAGGTATTTTGGATTTTTAGTTTAGCAATAGATAAATCGTCTAGTGAACATGTTTTGTTCCATGTCAGTGTAAGCTGCCAGTTAGGTCATGTGTATTTTTCGAACTGTATTGCACTAAGAGCTGATATTCGATCCTTAAGGTTTCATCGATGAGTTAGGGGGACTTCATTGATTCCTAATTCACAAGTAAATGATGTATATGTAGGATGTAGGAGTATTCACACCGAGAATGAAGGGTCATAGAAGTCAGTCAGTTTAGCAGTGAAATATAGACTATCAAATATCAGTGTCAGGGGAACACGAAATAGTTGTTGCCACCACTCTGGTATGTATATATACATGTCTTCATCACCTTCGTTGAAAAGCTTTATAAATAGCTAACAAGTTTAAATGTTCTTGTCAACTTTACAGGTTCAATCCCCTGGTTTATTGTGGCAGAATTGTTTACTCAGGAACACAGAGACACTGCATCAAGTGTAGCTGTTGGCACAAATTGGCTCTGTAATATTGTTGTTGGACTTGTTTTCCCACAATTACTTGTGAGTTTAAACAAATTCTAAAATGAATATTAACATGATATTTCTTATTTGGAATGTTAACTGACATATTTTTAACATATTCTTCCCGTATGTCCGTATAATATACCATTAATTTTATATTTGCTAACAAATTCCTGAAAATATCATTGCAGAGACAGAGATGTGTTTAAAAGGTATATGACTCCTAAAAACAGAATGCGAATTAAACTAAGCTCAAAACTGCACACCACTGGTTTTCCAACTGTCATCCAGGAAAGATTAAAAATTATTATTTGGAAACCTACTTTGGTGGTTAAATGCCAGTGGTAGCGGGACAGTCGCACTCATTCTTTATCATGCCTTTTTCAATGCTCAAAGGCACGAAAGTCTTCATTAGTGTAGTCTCTGGTAAATTGATCAATAATGGTTATGCAATTGGTGTTTTAAAACCACTTAAGATACACAGAGTTCCAGTTAGTTTCAGCCTACTAAATATCGCTGAAGCTGTAGTCATTAAACGGTTAAAACCGAACTTATTCATTGGGAAACAAATTATTGTTAATCTCGTCCTACCATGATGAACGTATTTTATGCTCTTTTTATTTTTTTATTTTTGTTATCTTAATTATGTGTAATTTTAAACATCTAATTTCGTGTGTTGTGCGTTAGTGATGCAGTGGTAGGATGCTTACCAACCACCCATGTAGTCCGGTGTTAGATTCCCAGCTGGGGCACTCTTAAAAGTCCCTTATCCGGTAGTAAGCCTGGCAAAGAGGGAAGCTTGGGCAAGAGGCTACCATCTCCATCTTGTAAATAGACAACAAAACCACCAATGAAACTTCAAACTCAAGAATGAAGCCATATATTCCACTCGGAACGCAAAGGGATTTAGAAAATTTTATCTTTATCCATGCTCTTAAGCTGACTTCTGTTCAACTAAATTAGTCAACCCTTACGTAACTTGTGTTTGCAACTTTACACTTCTAATTAGTTTGAAACTTCCTCTCTTAACTCTAAAATATTCTTGTGGTTGTTTCTACATATACCAAATAGCTTAATAACTTCCTTTGTCTTCTCCATAATGCTGTTCAATTACTTCGTATTAATGGTCTTCATCTTCATGTCTGTTAACTAAATTATGTGAATATTTTCTACATTGGTATTAAAATTGTTTTAGGTTGTATACAGTTGAAAAGAACCAATGAAACCAAATTATATCATATCATATTATCCTGTTCAGTTTGTTGTTCTTACTTTGTTTAAGTTCGTCAAGGGAGAAAATTGAATGGAATACCGATTAAATCAACTGTTTTAACCACCATTTTAACTGGTCCAATCACTTGAACCTTGTTTCACTATGATAACAAAATAGAGAATCTATTTTATGACCATAGAAGTTATAGTTATCAAAATAATTTGTTAATTACGAGATTTGTGACTTTTTGTATAAGAAAATATGAATGTAGGGACCTTTAGAACTGAGTTAATAGTTTTTAGTAACTGACTGGAGGACGGAGTTTCCTGGAGTTCTAGTGAGAAGGCGTAACCAGTGGGGTCCATCCTGTCGGCAGTGAGGACAAATACTGGCTGATAACATTAGCTGGTAGTCGTGCTAAAGTCACGTATTGGTAGAAGTTAGAATTCACAGACTGTTGTCCACTACTACCTGGTTTTCAATGGTTCTCTAACTGAGGCCGGTTGTGACCAAGTGTGAAAGTAATGAAACTATTCAACGGTAGGAATGATTGCACAATTTTATGAGTAATTGAAAAAATAAGTTTTCTACTTTGTATGAACACTTATTTAAGCTTATTTTTCATCTTAACATTATCAGCAGTTTGTGAGAAAACAGACTTTCAACAAGTAAACTAGTTATTAGTCAATAAATCACTATTGTTCCTTAGAATACGGTTTTTGAACAGCGATCATAGCTTCTTTTATTCGCAGAACAATGGCACGGATAAAGCAGGGACAACAAATTGAGCAGGATAATATGATATGACATGATATCATTTTATTTCGTTGGTTATTTTCAGTTGCATACACACTCAAAACAATTTACCCGCACTTTTGAAATTACTATCTGCTGACCTCTACTCAACTAATTTATTTAACCTTTAAGTAACCTGTGTTATCAATTTTATACCATTATTTAATCTACAACTTCCATTCTTAATTTTTGAATAACCATGTGACTATTCTCACACATACTAACAAGATTAATAAGCACTTTTATCTTTTTCATTATGCTATTTAGTTGCGTAATATTAATGACCTTTGTTATCATGTTGAACAACTAAAGTATGTGAACAATGTGTATATTGATAAAAAATTTTGATGTTGTATACAGTTGACAAGAATCAGCAATATTAAGCGCCACTGTGTTATCCGGCTGAATTTGTTGTTGTTTTTGCTTTGTTCAAGTTTAGCGAGGGGGAAAATTACAGAAATATCACTATGTTTTTGTTTTTTTTATCCAGACTATTTTTAATCCACGCCCTATCACTGTTATTGTTTTGCTTAGCCTTTGTGTGATTACATATCAGTTTGTATTCTATATGCTTGATTTTAATGATGCAACATATATGAGACTGAAATACAATTAAATTTAAACTATGAGTGAGGTGAATGTGAGTTTTAAGATAAATGATTCAGTAAATCAATCAGTCTGTTCATATGTGTTAATACAATTTATCAGACTAATAAGTGATGATATTAGGTGGTTGGAGGCAATCGGCAGGAAGCCTTGGACCTAGGTTTCGTGCTAGTTGGCACTCGTCAGCAAGGCGTATCTGCAACCTTGAAGGAACTCATGTCCCTTCTGAGATTCGAACCCGCGTCACCCAGTGCTGCAGTCAGAGACGTTACCACTGAGCTATTCGGGCTCAGAGCCCGAATAGCTCAGTGGTAACGTCTCTGACTGCAGCACTGGGTGACGCGGGTTCGAATCTCAGAAGGGACATGAGTTCCTTCAAGGTTGCAGATACGCCTTGCTGACGAGTGCCAACTAGCACGAAACCTAGGTCCAAGGCTTCCTGCCGATTGCCTCCAACCACCTAATATCATCACAAACTATGTACACCGTGATGGCGAGCTACCTAGAATGGTGGCCACATTACAACCTGACTGATAGAATTCAGTCTGCACCAAAAGAGGACTAGACGCATCACACTAGTTACTAGTGTCAAATCAAAAATAGACTAATAAGTGTTATAAAAAGTTTTAAAGTGTATATTGACTTTTTGCAGAATGATGCAATTTACTTATTTATTTATTTGTTTCATGAATATGAATAAGTGTTAATAGTCTTCACTAGAATACTTTATCATTGAAATAAAATTCTAAAAATGGGACGGAAATATTGTTAGTTTTATTGCAATTACACTCAAATACAGTCTGTTTATTTGATGACAGTTAACAGACAGTAATAAGTTGCTTTGTGCGCCGGTGGCACAGCGGTTAGGACTGTCGCCGACCATGCACATGGTCCGGGGTTAGATCCCCGGCCGACGCACTCCTTTACCTCGCTAAGCCAGAACTAAAAACCTGGCGAAGAGGAAAGGTTTGGCATGAGGCTAGCAACCTCATCCTGTAAAAATATACATTGCTACAGAAACTTCAAGCCTCTAGCTTGAAGCCCTATGTTCCACTGGGAACGTGAAGGAATAAAAAAATAAGTTGCTTTAGTGATATACAATTTATAAAACACTTATTACTATTATCCTTTTAATGTGCACCAAATGCATAATTTGTATGAGATGATTTTTAGAATCCGTTGGGTTTATGCATCAATCTATATCGGGTTCTTTAATGTCTTCAGGATTCTTTGACTAATAGAAGCTTCTAGACAATGGTGTGTGATACTTCTTCGTAGGTGCACAAGAATTTGTTTTATCAGAATGAAATTCTTTATATACGACCAACTCATATTGTCTGAAAAAAGGTGAAATCAAAATATCACTGAATGAAATGAACAATACTTTAGAAATCCTCGGTCTAATGTGTCCTAAACTCAAATATTAGATTCCATTTGAGTTGTCAAAGTCAACCCTTGTATCTGAACAGAAGATTTCGGACACTTCATAGTTATACCATCATGAAATATGACAAAATTTCACTGATGATATTGTTAGGAAGATTCACATAGTGAAATTATATTTTCATTCTAAGTGAGGTTTTTAAATATTTCAGTATCCATTCTTTTCCTCAGTGAAGAATTGTCGCTGTTGATTCTTGTTTGATGTCGAATATCTATTGCAAAGGCTTTTTTATGTCATATGCATGCGGAACTATAAACTTATTAGAAAAAGAACAAAAAATGAATAGAAGAGTTTAGTTTGTTGCCAAAGTATTTTAATATTCATGTATCACATTTAAATAGTTTTCTGATGTTTTCCAAGCTATCTCAAATTGTGTTTTCCAAGGAAATTGTCTCATGTGGATCTGAGTGTCCTCATCATTACGGCTGAATAACTAATATGATAATACTATTCAGTACCAATAAACTGTGGAACTTGATCCTTTTATTCTAGATTGGCTTATAGTTACCAGTTGGGCTTATATGATATTGTATCATAATAATTTCTGAATGACTTTTTCATTATACTGGCAGTCGTCGTTTGTAGGTGGATTACAAAATATAACTTCTGTTTAAGCACAATGAATATTTCTGTTGAACTGACTTCTGAAATGGACCTTTTGTATCTGTATAGATTTTCGTTTGCTTCTTAACTTGATAATTTTCCAGTATTTTGATTTATGAAATTTCCATTCCAAATAACTTCAAACTGTTTTTATCTTGTTTTGTTGTTTTCGTAACAGTCGGTTTCCTAATGTGATTTTCTTCCAGGATGACGTATTTGGGGGCTTTTTCTTGCTTAGTTTTTGTTATTTAACAAGATCATGTGTGTCCTTTAAAGTAATTCTTGTTTAGAAACTAGATTGGTTACCTTTTAAACTGATTTATAAATAATATTTATCTAGATGTTATGCTCCCCTAAATTCCTACTACAAACTTTGGAATTATCTCCTGAGATTTCACAATATTTTCAATCAAACTTGCGCACACGCAGGTTGTGACGTGAAATTTCATGTTATAACTTTTCTGTGCCATGTGATTATAAAAGTGTTGACTGGTAGGGTGACCAGATTCTCAAATAAACCGATTACTAGGTACTTCGTTGTAATTGATGACATTCCTTTCTTAGCTGCTAATTCCTTCTTCACGTAATGTACATCGAACATTTTTTTAGTACATGAAATATACTTATTTCTTGAGGTCATACCAGCCTGCTTGGTGTATATAAATATATACAGAAGTATAATCAGTTCATTGATTGAAGTCTGGATAAGTGTTTCTTTATGTAGGCATTCTGCTGATACACCTTCTAGGTGGACATTTGTTGTATTTTTTTACGCTTTAGCGTATTTAATATTGAAATTCTGATTAAGATTCCTTTTGTCAGGTCAAATAGTCGTTCATCAGACTGAAAATCATTGAAGGATAGATGGTAGTCACTTTGGTCTAGAGACTTTTGAACTCACAGCGTCAACAGGATTCTTATTACTGTTCATAGGATTCAATGTTGCTTTTTTGGGATAAATTTATGTGTATAGGTGTGAAGAGTGCATAGAGATCCTGAGAAATCAGACTCTCCCTTTTTCGCTGATCTCACATCTTTAGGGTTCTTCAGAGAAAGTGTTAACGAAAACTTCCCCAGTCTTCACTTTCTGCTTAAGAGTTATGATTTATTTCATACATCTTTCGACCCAAACTATGTTTACAGAAAGACAGTGTGACTAATCTCTCACTACCCTGGTAACCATCATTGTTTTGTTCTGTTGCGTAACATTCCCCTCAATCTTGATTTTGACTCACTGAGTTGTACTCACTATTAAGGTACCGACCATATCTACTAAATTTAATCATTTTATCTATTTTACAATTTTACTACACCATCAACTTCATGACCTCTCCACCTTAATATGTATAAATTAACTCTGTTGTTCTATCTTTGTATTTTGTTTCTAGTCCATCCTTGTTTCCAAAAGAAATATGAATTCTACCCTCTTGTCTAATTACTATATAAATAGTTACTCTTTTAACACTAAATAATTGTCTACTTACATCATTTTTGAAATTATGTTGCTTATGCTATCTATATATAATTTGAAATCCTTGTAAAAAGTATGTTTAGAAATGACGTAACATATAATTGATTTATTTTGAATGTAAGCAATTGAAGGGAATCCACGAAATAAAACGAGCTCGTATTATCCTGCAAATATGTTCATTCTTCTTATTCAAATTATAATTTATTTGTGAATGGTATTACCTAGTAGTTCTAGGAAGTGTTGGAACTGGTTACCTTATGAGATCTGTATTATGAGATTAGCTCAAGCATGGAATCACTTAAGTGAGCTGTTGGATTTCATTCTTCACTAGTTTGCCTAGTCTTTCTTTTTATTTGAACACCTATCGTTTTGATGAGAATCGCTTTGAGTTCATGACATGTATCAACCTGTAGTTGGTTCATAACTTCTTAAACATTTGCTCTGTATTTTTCTTATCACTACTACTTTTCTACCTCACTTTTATAATGAGATCAAAATTTCTATTTTCTCTCAGTCATTTAATTGTTTTCTGCTCGTCTCAGTTAAGTTCAGAGTTCTTTTCTTATCTTCCCACTCTTTTTAACGCCACTTTTATGTTGCTAGTATCTTGCTATTACTCTGAAGTCAATGCAAATTCTGAAACATGATGTGGTCATGTAATTTAATTGTATTTCTGGACAAATATTACCATTACAGGAGATACGATGGTGTTTGCAAATGTCCTTCCATTTACAGGAATATATTGTGAAAATAATGTTCATTGGTTGTTTTTGTCATCTAAAATAAATTAAAAAAATGAACAAAATGTTCAACTTAGTATTTAATTGGTGGATGGTGACTAGCAGTGGAATTCAGAATGCGCATTTCGTCCTATTTGGGACTCGTCATCTGCATGTACCTGCATTTCTCAGTGAGTGATGATGTTCCGACCGAGACTGTTCAACTGGCTGAAAACAGTACCCATAAATCATTCACGTGAATCAGTAGATTGTGTCATTCAGGTTAAGCTGATGTAAAATTACAAAAGCTGCTCAACTTATTCAGGAGAAAATCAATCACTACTACACTCAGATTAGTTTATCTGGAAGTATGAAAGGTTCACACGACTGGGTTTATCTTTCTTCAGTGATTTCTAGCTGTACATAACATATTTCTTTCCATAGCCTTGTCTCCAGTATTAGGATCAAACTAATCGGAATTAATGATCTCATCATTTTACTTTGTTACTGGAATTCCATCCAATTTAATTCATAGAACAAACCAAAAGTGTTGCCAACATTTGCAAAATTACAGAGAATAAATATAATTCTTATTTCAGCATTGATTTAACAACACTACTCTTTCTGTGCTTATATGATCATTTGGATATTATTAGTTGAAATACAGCACAATAATTATAATAGCTTTTATAACCAAAATACAATAGCCTGAGATATTGGATTGATTTTATTATTTACCTTGAAATGTAGCAGAACAAAAAAGAATTTGGTCACAGTTGTTAGTTGATGCAGTTCAGTTTCTATAATATCTTACGTAGTTCCAATTTCAAATATTATTGAGAATAACGTGTTAACAAACTGCTAAAAGTAAGAATTAAATAATAATTCCATTTTTTTTGCATGAGTAATTAACATTTTTCATTTCCTCTCCACTTCTACTTTTTTTTTCTACAGGCAATCATGGATATTTATGCATTCATACCGTTTATATGTATACTGATCACTGTGATTGTTCTTATCGCTTTATATCTACCAGAAACGAAAGGTTTTAGTCCAATTTATACTGAATCAGTTTTCAAGGCCCAATTTAGACATTCATCAGTGATTCCGGTAAGTGAAATTCCTAAAGAAAAATCAAAAATTTTGGATTATGAGATATTTTGAGGAATCATTAAGATGACTTGACCTATTTAAATTGCTTAATATTATTCATAGAACACTTTTTGTGACATGAACTTGTCATATGCCATATCGTGTGAATGCCTACATAATAGGTATTGGCATACACCTTCAAACTCAGCTGGGGAATTCGCTGAGAATAAATCTCGAAATATGTAAAGGTTTGCGCATTAAAATAGTCACGACTATATTTTGTGCTGAGAACAACTTGTCATCCTGTTTTTTTATTCCTTCACGTTCCCAGTGGAACATAGGGCTTCAAGCTAGAGGCTCGAAGTTTCTTTAGCAGTGTTTATTTTTACAGGATGAGGTTGCTAGCCTAATGCCCAACCTTTCCCCTTTACCAGCTTTATTTCTGGCTTAGCGAGGTAAAGGAGTGCGTCGGCCGGGGATCTAACCCCGGACCATGTGCATGGTCGGCGGGTATCCTAACCGCTATGCCACCGACGCACTGTCATCCTGTTAGTGATTAATAAACATTAAACAAGGTCATTCAGTGGTTAACAAAATAATGACATTTTAATCTGAGATCTGATATCACTTTAGGCATTTCCGAAGTCCAGAAAGTAAATTCATAGCTAGATAGTTACAAGTGTAAATTATCAAGGTTCAGTTTGGAATAGAAAAGAATAGCCTGGTCAAGAATGATGACAGAATTACCAGCAATCGGCACAAAATACCGGTCGTCATTCATTATATATACTTAATTCAGTTAAGAATTTAGGCTAGATCAACTGTGGCTCATCTGATTTCTTGGTGATCTCAGGCAATATTTCATATTCTAAGTAAAATAATTGATGATGAAAATAGCAACACATTTTACAACATGTAAAGCTGTCTTCGTAGAAAAGAAATAATATTCGGTATTAAATTAGGAGTAAACAGTTTTATAAGGTTTCAAAAACTTCACTTTCTACACAGTCATGTGAACGTCGTTTTCAGTGCACACAGAGTGAAGAGGAAGTGAAGAGCCATTAAGTAGAGGAGTTGCATTAGTAGAAGGAAGGCAAGATAATAGAGATGAAGATGAAGACAAAGGTGAGTGAGGATTAGAGAGGTTTCGCGTGCACTTCGGATTGTGAGGGCGATTGTTACTTCCCGGCTGCCCACACCGTGGAAGTTGGTTGCGTGACCGCAGAGCCCAGGGGACAACTGCTTGAGGCCGGTCACACACGGCCTGTTTTTGTTTGTTGTTTTTCATTTGGTGTGTCTCAGTAGCGTATTTATCACTTCTGCCCATCATCAGACTGGGGTAAGTCACTTATCATACCAATATTCAAGAAGGGAGACAAGTCCTCATGTGATAATCATAGAGGAATCAGCCTAACGAACATAGTCTCTAAAATCCTAGGCTCAGTAATCATGAACAGACTAAGCCGAACTCGGGAGGAACAAACGAGGGAAAATCAAGCGGGCTTTAGGCCAGGTAGAGGGTGCATAGATCATATCTTCACTCTCCGACAGATCCTAGAACATAGACACACTTTTAGGCGTCTGACAATTGCCATATTTCTTGACCTGAAGGCGGCCTTCGACTCCGTGGATCGAGAGGTACTATGGCAATGTTTGACTGTGAAGGGAGTGCCAAGAAAGTACATTGCACTAATCAAGGCACTCTACTCAAACTCACGTAGCCGTGTAAGGGCTTATGGGGAATTGTCATCTGAATTGATAACAACCAGTGGTGTCCGTCAAGGATGTCCACTTTCCCCTTTCCTGTTTAACTTCATCATAGATATGCTAATGGAAGTATCCTTAACTGAACTTAACGACTTAGGAATCGACTTGTTACCAGGGAATAGTCTTGTGGACTTAGAATATGCAGACGACATAGTCCTGTTAGGGGAGGACGCTGACAAAATGCAGAGTCTTCTGAACACCTTGAGCAGCAATCTTCGTATGTTTGGCATGCGATTCGCCCCTGTAAAATGTAAGATGCTGCTACAGGACTGGACTACGTCAACTCCTAGCTTAGTGATAGGGAGTGAAGTGATAGAACATGTTGACCACTTCACCTATTTGGGAAGTTGTATCAGCACCAACGGATTGATTGGTGACGAAATCACAGCACGGATCCAGAAAGCTCGGGCTGCTTTCGCTAACTTACACCGTCTCTGGCGTAGGCGTGACATTCGGCTATCAACCAAGGGACGTGTATACTGCTCAGCAGTTCGCTCCGTCCTTCTCTATGGCGGTGAGACGTGGCCATTGAGAGCGGAAGACATGAAGAGATTGTCTGTTTTTGACCACAGATGTTTACGATCTCTTTCTCGCGTTAGGTGGTATAATAAGGTAAGTAATGTTGACGTTAGGCGTAGAGTGTTGGGCAAAGAGGGAAAATCAATCGAAGAGGCTATGAAGTTACATAGATTGAGATGGTTAGGTCACGTGCTGCGCATGCCTAGCCATCGCCTCCCCCGACGGGCATTACTAGCTGATATATGTGCAGGTTGGAAAAGAGTAAGTGGTGGCCAAACAAAAACATGGCATCAATCCATGAAATCCCTGACAGTTAAACTGAGTCAGGTAGGGAGATGCAGACTTCCGGGTTGGGGCCCTCGGGACTCTAAGAATCAATGGCTGGAGACAATAGGTGACATGGCTCAAAATCGTTGTCAATGGCTTACGCAGATGTATTCAGTCTCTTTAACCTTTCATATTCCTTTCTACCATTACTCATTCTGTTTCACTCTTATACTTGTCAAAACTCTATTGATTCTCTTCTCTCATTTTCCTGTCTACCTTTGTGTGCTCTTTGGAACGTGGCAACTCGAACTGCTGCACCTCGGTGCCAAGTTCTATGTTGAATCCAGCAGCAGCAGCATGTGAACTGATATTCAATTATGTGAAATATTTCATGAAATATTGACGATTTTACTTTTTTTATTAAACCATCTTATTTACAAAAGTTTCAAATAAGCTGAAATTCTAAACAGTTTATATAGACGTAACATATTGTAGCACTACAAAGCAGTCTGTCTGTCTCTGTCTATTTTCGACATAGAACTTTGCACATATGTGCGGCAGTTCAAGTCACCACACTCCCTCTTTGTAGCACACAAAGCAAGAGAAGAAAGTAGGAGAAATGCATAATAGAGACAGTGAACAGAGGTGTGAGACAAAGGTATAGTAATAACGAAGAACAAAACAGTTTAATTGGAAATCATAAGTCACAAGGAGTGGATGCATCTGCACCAGCCACTGAGAACGATTTTGAGCCATGTCACCAATTGTTTCCAACCATTGGTTTTTACTGTCCCGAGGACCCCAACCAGGAAGTCTACACCTTCCTACGTGGCTCAGACAAACTGTTGTAGATTTCATTGCCATGTTTTGGTTTGACCGCCGCTAGCTCTTTTCCAGCCTGACCCTATGTCAGCTAACATTGCCCGTTGTCGAGGAAGGCAATCGATGGCTAGGGATGCGTGCGTAACACATGTCCTAACCATCTCAGTCGATGCAATTTCACAGTCTCGTCGACTGATTTCCTCTCCTTCCCTAGCACTCGACGCCTAACCTCAATATTGCTCACCTTATTATACCACTTCACACGGGAGATAGAACGCAGACACCTATGATCAAAGACAGATAATCTTTTCATGTCTTCCACTCTCAATGGCCAGGTCTCACAGCCATAAAGGAGGACGGAGCGGACTGTTGAGCAGTACACACGCCCTTTGGTCGATAGTCGGATATCACATCTACGCCAGAGACGGCGTAAACTGGCATATGCGAAACTAGCCCTCTGTATCCGTGCTGAGATTTCGTCAGAGATCAACCCGTTGGGGCTGATGGTACTTCCCAAGTAAGTGAAGTGGTCAACATGCTCTATCACTTCACTCCCTATTTCTAATCTAGGAGTTGACGTAGTCCAGTCATTGCTGTAGCAGCATCTTACATTTTACAGGAGCGAATCGCATGCCAAACATTCGAAGATTGCTGCTCAAGGTGTTCAGAAGACTCTGCATTTTGTCAGCGTCTTCACCTAGAAGGGCTATATCTTCTGCATATTCTAAGTCAACGAGATTATACCCTGGTAGCAAGTCAATCCCTGAGTCTCTGAAGTGGGTAAGGGTTAAGTCCATTAGTACATCTATGATGAAGTTGAATAGAAATGGGGATCTACAAAGCAGTAAATTAAAACAGACAGTTTGCAATGAAGACCTAAGGCGTACATGGTAGTTTGACGTAACCGTGCAATAGTAAGCCAAAAAAGTGTAATCCGAATTTTCTCCTACAGTGTGACCATTTATCCGAAGTTTTTAACTTAATTTAGTTGACTTTGTGGCCATACACAATTCAAAACTGGATTTAATTTTAGAGTTCGATTCAGATCTGAGTTTGCCAATAACCATCTTTGTATTTGGTGAGAACAAATTGTGATGACGGCTGAGGTAAAAGACACACTTGATGAAGTGCTTCAAACGCCCAGCTGTATAGTGGTGAGAACAAGGATAACGTACACTTCAAGATGTATTGACGAGAATCAAACTATTAAATATGCTTTAATTTAGGAAGATTTAGATGCTTGTAAGATTCACACAAACATCAGAAATGAATTAAACTGGCAAATGTTTGCACATTTCTCAATATCACTAAATCGGTTTCGTGAAAATGCTAGACAAGAATAGAAGATTTGAGTTTATCTTTTGTTGTTAAAGTAGTCTTATAGTACCTATATAGGTTAGCAAGTGATTTCAAACACTATTCCTCAACTCTCACAGTACTAGATTGTTTTGAAGAGTGAAAAATTGTGTACGACCTATTGGTTGAGCGATCTGATTATTTTATAGAACATGTGGTCACATGTACGAAGCTGAAGTTATATTATTTAACACGTCTACCAGGACTGAACCGTCAAATTCAAAAGCGACATTTACACTGAAGCCATAACCCATCACTTAAGTCTTTAACTTACAATGTGTAAAACCAAAGCAACTCACTGAAATTTACAAATTTTTACTCAATTTCACTGTAAAGTTATCAATAACGTCATTTAGCAGGGTAATCTTAGGGTTGGAATAGACAGATAACACCATGATGGTAACCTTAGTATCGACAGGCATCTCAGTCAACTCCAAATTTTATTCTTATGACTGTTTATGACCATAAATTAATAATTCCAGCTGTTCGTCCGTGGCACAGCGGTTAGGACTCTCGCCGACCATGCACATGGTCCGGGGTTCAATCCCCTGCCGACGCACACCTGATATCAATTGGTTGGCCTGCAAAATTTGGGCTACTGATATCACATACTGAAAATTCCATACTTGTACGAAAACTACGGTATGGAATCAAGCTATAATCAAAAAAATTTCATTTTATCTCAAAATGTCAGCTAAAGCTAAAACTGGTAAAAACAGGTGAATTTAATTTAGCTTCACCTTTTCGTAGTTAGTCATAGAATGAATAAAAAAAGTTTTTGACTGTGGGATTTATTAGTTCAACCGACGACGACAAAACCCGGATACTGGGTATGCATACAAATGTATTTTTGATGCCTTCAAAAAATAAAATAAGCAAATCGCGAGTTCACATGTAAATAAGGAAACTTGAACACAGTAAGAGGGAAATGGAAAACAGGAACTTTAACCTATCAATTAAAGTAGAAAAAATTAAGCTATTCTTTGGTGATTGGATATCTCAGAGTTAGACGGTTTGACTGGAATACTTTTCATTTTCAATTTCTAAAAAGTGAAGAATTTACTTTTACACACTGGCTTAACAAAATAATTGTATAAATATATAGATACTCGCTAGCGACTGGCCCTATTCAGGCAGTTAACCTGCGGTTCTAGTAGGAACCCGTGACCAATAGGGTGCAGCAGGTTGAAGGTGAGGCAGTAACTCATCGAAGAAGACATTGCGAAGTGGTCACGCTATGTCATGAATTGGCAGAAGTTAGAATTCATGGGCTGGCCACTGGATCGGCTCCCAGTAGCTTAATGGTCTACGAGCTCGCTAGCCTTTCAACCAGAAGTTCCTGGGTTCGAGCCCTGGCGGCGAGTGCGTACCGATGAAGAGTCGCAAACTAGGACGAAACAGCTGGCTATCCAAAACCCCCAGGTTTTCCAGTGGTTCTCTAACTGATTTCAGCTCATGATGAAATCCTCCAAGTAATCAAACAAAAAAATCTCTACAAAACCAATACTTGAAAGTTATTTATGATTTCAGAAGAATACTAACAAATATTGTTGGGGTCAGTTTAATTAGTCAGTAAATCAACTAGACACTTATTTGTTATTCGTAAGCTTGAAACTTTGACGCCCAACTTTAATTTAAAGATATTTGTGTAGACTGAGGTGCAGTATTTATCATATTAACATCAACTTTTGACTGGACATTAACTAACGTCATTTGTCTAACCTTTTGTTTACTGAGGACTGAATTCTATCAGTCAAGCCTGCATTGTGGCCACCCTGTTACGTGGCTCGCCATCACAGTGCACTCAGGATTTTTGTTAGTAGATGGTTGGGCGGAATCAGCAGGCAGCTTTGCTTGACCTAAGTTTCTTGCTTGCCGACGAGTGCCAACAAACACGAAATCTGCGTCAAGCAAGACTGTCTGCTGATTCCATCCAACCATTGAATAACATCAGCTTTATTATTGAAATTATGTTTAAAAAGAATACAGAATTGTCAGCATAATTTCTTGCAAAATATTTACTCTCCGTATAGAATCGTCAAGTAAATATTCATCAACAGTATATTGTATGACACAATGTCATTCTGTCTGAAAGAAGACTTAATCCTCTGTAACATTTTTCCTTCGTTTTCTTCTTGAAGTACACATGGGAGATTGGGAGCCAGTTAAAATTTGCGTGAGTTCATATTGCAGTGCAAGGACATAATTAGAAGAATAAAAACAACAAGAAACGCGAGAAAAGTAGATTCATTATACTGAATAGAAATTTAGGTAGCCCAGTATTTTAAGCGAGCAGCTAGCATCTATTATTTAGGAAACTAATACTATTATGAAATATACTATATGAGTTGTATATATGTAATCTCTTCTGGTATTTCAATAGAATAATTAGTCATAGATTTCCCAAAAATCCTGAACTATTTGTAAATATTGTTTGCATTCCTAATTGAAGACTTCAGTAAATCCAAATCACTTCAGAAGGGAACTTAACTTCCCTAGGGGAGGATACACATAAAACTTTTTTAGTTGTACAATTTAATTGAAAATCAACTCATAAATATAATCAAGACTTTAATTCACATTGAAGAGAATATAAAATCTTTTAATCTTTTGCAAAAAGCAAATTACAACATTCAATTTCACCTGCAAAATAGTCACTGCTAGTTAGTTAATCAACGGGAAGTCGCTTTATGCGCTTTAATAATAGTCTCATTTTACTGCAACTATAACTTCACCTACAAGCATCTTTCACGCTTAATACATACACTATTTGGCCATTTCAACTCAGTATTAAGATGAGCAATACTTCTAATTAGAAATATTTTCTTCTTGATGAATTAATTATACACTATAGGCATATTTTTCTTTTATTTTTATATTCTAGTTTCAATGAACAGTAGGTTCTGTCCGTTTATTTACATAGATTACATAAAAAAAACTTTTAATTCTGTGCAAAAATGTACATGATAAGTAAACCTTCTTATATTTAAAGCGATTTCAATGAAATTTCTCTTTAATTAGTGTAGTGTTGTAGTGTTTCGCATTCTTTAGAAATTTACAAGTTATTTTAATTATTCTATTTTTCCAGTTAAAGTAAATTATTAAAATATAGGTTTGTAAGTGTAAGTATGGCTTTAAGTTAAATACACTTTATACACTATACTCTTCTGCACTATGATTATAATCCCTAATTGTCACTTCAAATGTATGTAAGTGAATTTAGGCTGTTTTAATTTGTAAGCAGTCACACATTATAGCTCATTGACGCATTGTCTGCTTATGTTTTTTTGCAAATGATAAGTCACAGGTTCAGATCTTTTGTATTAGGTGTCAGAAACTATTTTAAGCCTCACTTTTGTTGTCTAATTTTATATTTTACTGGATCTGAGTATATCTACGTAAGAAACTGTATAATTCATATGTTAAATCCGAAAGAATTTAGCATATGCGATTAAGTGAGCGAACATCAGTTTGCTAAGCTGAAGTGAAAATCACTCATGCATAATAAAGTCATCAGGCAATAATACACACACTTTCATGAAAAAAAAATTAGAAAAGAGTACAAACTTCTTAAATTTTTTTAGTAATTAAGCCAGAAAATGAAACAGTAAATCGATATGAAGAATAATAATAATAATCATCGATTTTGTGAAAGACCATTTAAAGTGAAGTAAACAACACGCTAAATGAATTAGCTGCTATATGAAACGAGTTTTCATCACCTTAAATGAAGAGGTGTCTCACGTTTTTTGTATTATAGGAGTGGCCCACTTTTACAGTATGCTGTAAATTGAATACGTATTTGTTTGTAAATTACAGTTAGGTTAGTCATGGAATAGAAGAACGATATCTACAAAAGAACAATACAGAAATATAAAATATGTCATATGATGAAAGTCAGTGCTCATTTTATGAGGCATAAGAAGTTTAACACAGTTATAAGTGTTTAACTCAATTTAGATTTTCCCATCGATTGTTTGGACCGAAGTGCTCGCTCTCTGGTTGACATGTCGGCTCCTTGTACAGATGCTTCGACGATGTCTGGTCATGTAACTTGAAGTTAATTGGTTGTTGGTGACTAGTGGTGACTACGGGTAATGGGTTCGAACCTCGGTGGGAACACCATCACTCACTGGGGAACGCAAGTACATCCAGATGACGAGTCCCATATCGAACGAAATGCGCATCCTGGATTTCACCGCTAGTCACTATCAACCAATTGACTTCAAGTTACAGTTATAAATAGTTTACAATTTCCATTGTTTTAGCGTTTCCCTACCCTCTAGGTAGATAAAAAGAAACAACAATGAAGGAGCAAAAGAAACTTAGAGATGTTTTATATTTTACTTGGTCATCGGGAAGTAACCATTAACATGCACCTAGTCCTAAGGAATGATTGAATTCCATCAATCATATTTACATCACAAGGTAACATGGGTTTAAATCCCCGAGAGAATATTAGCAGGAAGCCGTATACCTCGACTTCGTGCTTACTGGCATTTATCAACAAGGTGTCTACAGCCTTGAAGGAACTGATATCCGCCTTGAGATACAAACCTGCGTCGCCGACTTTTTCACTCAGAGATGTTACCATTGATCTTTTCGGGCGCTTCGAATACAATTTATTGCTCATAATAATATTTAAGTGATACGATAAGATTACGTTCACCTAAATGTGCTTATATGGTTATCCAGTTATTTTCACTCTGTCATTGTGTGTTATATCAAACGAACCTACCTAATATACAGTTAAACTGGGCAACGGTCCTCAAATTCTATTCTTACGCTAATGAGGCGTATTATCTACTGCAAGGGTGCACATTTTTACTCATGTAAGAAAATCTTAATGCAAATAGTTTAGCTTTTGAGAACTGCAACACTGAAAGGAACGCTTTAAGAGTGTCATTTTTGTAGTCTAAAATCTGCATCAAGTTTACTGTCCTTCTTCATTGTGCTACATAACACTATGGGCTCAAGACAGCTATCATGGTATATGAAAAGTGCATTTGCCAAAGACGGAATGTTCCTGTAAAGTGAACAAGCTAGTTGAGTACTGATCACCATTGTACTTGAACAAGTCATCTGAAGGCACTGATTATTCAGGGCATTGAATCACAATATTATTAAGTACCTTTCGACTATAACTAACTTGAAGAGATAGAGATTATGCAAATAAAAAATGTTCTACTGTGTCAGAGATACATACTCCAACAAGGTAAAATATAACATTGGATCACAGATAAATTAATAATGTCTATCTAAGTAAACTTAACCTTGAGGATGAAATATACAAATAGTGAACATTAGATGAATGCCTAATTCACATATGAATATCTCACCTGTACATACGAAATAGCTCAATTGGAATATATGTGGAATTTACTGCTTTTCTTTTAAAAAGATTAGCCTAAAGAAATTCTGCTTAAAGGTTATATGCATACCTAATATGAATGCGCATCATCATCATGAAAATCTGTTTTTGCTGAATTATTTTTAATGTCTAAATTATGCATTTTATGATGTTTTCCGACACTCTGTCAATAATAAAAGCTACAATTTCTTAAAGCAAAAATTCATTGTTTTGAATAAGAATGAAGTAGGAGGAGGAGAAGAAGAAGACCGTTTTGTCAAGAATTATAAATACACGCCCCGTCCTTGTTAATGTTTTTAATTAACCAGTTTATCAAGGTCATTATTTATACATTCTAATTTTAAAGATTTTCGTCAGTAAGTTACACCGCTCAGTCTTCATTTAGATGATCAATATTGTGTTGTCTCTGTAATACACTGAAAAATACTAATATGAACTGTAGTTTCACACGATTTACTAAATACGTTGTTACTCTAACCACTCTGGGTTTATCCTGTTGAATTCACTAAGTGCATTTCTATGCACTTTTCACTGTTCACAATTTTAGTGGAAAAATTAGTAGAGTTTGAAGCAGTATAAGTTTAATATGTCTGAACCAATAAACTTTTAAACTTCCTCAAACGGTTTGTTTACTTTCTCATAAGTCTGTGAATGTTGTTCTTAGTTTGATTTGAGACAAATAATTGGCTTTCTTAGTCCATTAAAACCACTCTGCCAACTTCATTTTGCAGCCTTAAACCTCGGAACACACTGTCAAACTAGACAGTAGGCCTCACTAGTCAAAATACCAGCATGTTATGCTTTGTATACATGTTATATGCCTGCTACATGCATGAAAGATGTAAATATAGTTATTTACTTAACTTCACCTGGCTAACATATTGAGTCTGCTTACTTCACTTAATCGGGGTCCCATTGGCTTACTTGTGTGTGTGTGGCTAGAATTGAGATCTACAGCAGAAAAGTCACTTTTCAGCTCAAGTTTAGAGTCGTAATTTTGCTATCCGGCTGAATGGATCTACGTGAGCAAGGAAAGGTTGTGAAACTTGTCAGTTCCTCTTCATAATCACTGCTCGGGCTCCTATTGGTTACAGATCCGAAAAGAGAGAGGATCAGCTTTGTAAGAGGTTTCCCAGTTTGCCGTCAAAAGCAAAACTATTAGATAAATTCATTCAGACAGGCGATTTTGATGCTTAATTGGGGAAAGTAAGCTAGCCTGAAAAGCGTTTTTATGGTTTCTATGGTATTCTATACTAACGAAATGATAAACAGGGATGTTCCTTCTAGTCTTTCTGAGATCATCAACTGTTCGTGATCAGTACTAATTTCAAAAGACAGGAGAGACATTTTCTCGAAATCAGGCTAAAAACAGATACAAATAAAGCTGTTAGTTATAATTTACTGATACTGAGGGTCGACGTACGATTACTGCACCTTATTCAGCACTTTTGTAAAGATTTTCAACATATTGATACGAGTACTTATACGCCTGCAACTGACTGCACATAGGAAACAAGCAGCCATGCAATGCAAAAATAATTCAGTCAACCGTACTTAAGGTGACAAAAATGTCTCTGGTCTAAAACGAGATAGAAAAAGAGTCCTAATAGCTTGATCCTAAAGATGTCTGAGGGTGTTGGTGGCGAATTGATGTTTAGATTGACTGACATACCAGCTGGTGTACAGAAATTTAAGGTAATTCCGTCAGACTGGTGTAAATCACTGATCATCCTACTTCATAAGAAAGGGGATATATACTCCTTTGAAAATCACGGGATTAACTCGACTGATTGTGGTTTGAGAAAACAAATAAGAGAAGACCTTGTAGGTTTCACTCCTGTGCCAGTGACCTTTGGTCATATCCTGACTTTATAATAGGTTCCACAACATAGGTATCCTTACTACCATCCAACAAATGTCGTATTTCCCCACCTTAAGGCTGAATTTGATCCTGTCAATAGGGAAATGCAACCGACTTTAATCTTTAAGGGAATGCCATGAAAGTAGATTGCTCTAGTCAAGATACTTTGGTTGAACTTATGCAGATGGACAAGAGATTATAGATAGTTGTTGTCTGAATTGATAACAACTAGTAATGTCCATCAGTGATGCCTACTGTCAATTTTTGTTGTTATTTAATTTCACTATAGATGCACTGATGTATGTGGCCCTGCTTGACTGTGATGTATGAATGAATGAATGAATTGCAACCACACAAAAGTGTTTTTTTTAATTTTGGAATACTAAGATGATTTAGTCGAAGAAGCAGCAAAGACAGGACTCCAGGTGAACAAAAAACAACAACAACAACAGCAACATCCAGCGCCAATCACCATCAACGGGAGGGATTTGAAAGAGGTTACTTCATTCACTTATCTAGGGAGCATTGTCTCAACTACAGGAGGAATGGACGAGGATGTCAAATTGAGAATCAGGAAGGCGAGAAACACATTCATCAACCTGAAACCAATCTGGAAATCTTCGTCACTCAGCCTGCATCAACAACAAAATTCGGATTTTCAATACAAACGTCAAGTCAGTCAGTTCTTCTATACGGATCAGAAACTTGGCGGGTCACCAAGAATATTTCCAACAGCCTGTTGCAGACCTTTATCAACAGCTGTCTTCGTTCTATACTGAAGATCAGATGGCCGGAAAGAATCACCGACAAGAAACTATGGGAACAAACAAAACAAGAACCAATCGCTCAACAAATATGCAGGAGAAAGTGGAGATGGATTGGACACTCACTGCTGAGGAGGCCGTTGGGTGACATCGCGCGTCAGGCCATAGCTCGAGTGGAACCCGAAAGGGAAGCGGCGAGTGGGACGTCCAAGGGTGACATGGAGGAGATCGTGTGAAGAGGAGTTGAAACAGTATGGACTAACATGGATGCAAGTGAAAAGTACAGCAGAAGACAGAAGCAAGTGGAGACGTGCAGTTGAAGCCCTATGTTCCACTAGGAACCCAAGGGAATAATAACAATAATAATAATAAAGATGATTTAGTCCTTTTAGGTAAGGATAATGACTAAATACAAAGCTCTTTTTAATGTTGGGTATATCTGGCTTGCAGTTTACGTTATTAAATCAATTAGACGTGGACGTAGCAAACTCTTCTTAGGATATGAAATCAAATATACACACAGGATGTTTAATGAACAAATGATCTATTTTGATTTACCAATGATTATTTTATATTTTATGATTGTCATTTACGTAAATGTCGATTTCATTTATATTTCTATTTTAGGCTAAAAAAATGTGATCATGATGCGAGAATCACTAGTTGAAACAACATTTGTATATGTTATTCTTTCTTATTTACCATATAAAAAAAATATCAATGATCAATGACTTTTGGATTATATATACATATATGCCTATTTGGATTTGGATTTTCAAGCGTTGAACACTCACACATTCTAATTCACTACCACCTATTTACTTCTACTATTTTGTTAATTCTTGCATGTGTCTTGTCTTATGAGAGATATCCTGTGATTAACATTTTTATATTTAGCCAATAATTAAAAGATTCTTTTTTTTCCTTACTACTATTATCATGTTCATTCTATGCACAAGACAAATTCTACAGTTTTAGTGATCACTGTTTGATTTCTTTCTTTTTTTCTTATTGCACTTTGCCTACCATTATTATTATCATCATTATTACGCATGTCAGTGACTTCACAGTTATCAATGACGTCATTAAGATTATTATATATGATGAGTAAACTGATCTACGAATTAATATTTGATTGTGTAATTGAAATCTCGTTTATTGTTTTTTACCGCAGACGAAGGCATATAAAAAAGCCTTTGTTTTTGGTAAATTTTCTGAGTTACTCTTTGATTAATAAAGAAAATGAGTCAAATGAATTAACGTTTCATAAAGTGCTTTTTATAAACAGAATTTTTTATATTATTAAATACGTAAGCACCAAACAAGTGTAAGAGACATTTTATTGAAATATAAACTTCTAATCATTGGTTGGTGTCTGTGGAATAGTTTCTGAATATGAGAAATAAGCCATTTAATTCTGGAGTATTTCGTGCTTCTTCTAAGTGTTGTACCTAATAGTCATTGACGTTATAGCATACATGGATGGAGCCATTTTTCCTAGGAATGTTTAACGCATATAAGAGATTTTATCATTAGGCTGGTTATACAGCAATTCAAAAGATTTTTATCAAGCATAGTAGTCGAATTGTGAAATCGATAAAAAGCATGCCATCAGTGAATGTAAGCAACTATTCTTGGGGTCATTACTGATATTTGTGAGTTTGCACATTAGGTCTAACAGGAGTAAAATTATGGGGAATAAATTCATGTTTCTGGTTGAGTTCCGACTGTACTATCATGTTCTGGTCAGGCCTTCCATATCCGTCTGTAGATCAGACTGCCCTTAAACCGACAATTATAATTAGGTTTACAGTGATCTCTAGCTACCCAAAAAATACTCCCAACTTTGCTCATGTAGACAAAGTTTAGGAGTTGTGTGAGTGCTTTGACGTGATTATGAGCAGTAATTTGTGCTCAAATCTTCATCAGTAAATATTACTGTATCACTCTGTGTTTTTAACAAATGAAACTATTCTAAGATGGAATGTTATCCTAGTTGATTTTAAGATGGAATTCATTAAGGATTTACGTTAGGTTGGTATTACTTCGCGCTATAGGAGTAACTGTCGACGAGTCAGTGATTCTGAATACTTTCTCAATGAGGATTTCCTTGAAATAAACTAGTGTTTATTTTCAATGCACTTATTATTTTGTACAATTTAAAGAACATTTTTCTGTTACGAAAATTATCATTCGCGAATTTACCAGCGTACAGTTTTGTTATTTTGGTTGATGGTAACTAGCGGTGGAATCCAGGATGGGCATAATCTCGTGGCCCTAGAGGCTTAATGGATAACAATTTTGTGTTTAGAATGATGGGCGTAGGGTTCGAGTTTCAGTGAGAACACTATTACTTAGGTATATCTAGATGCCGGGCCCCGAATAGGACGAAATGCGCATCTTGGATTCCACTGGTAGTAGTCACAACCAACCAGATTATTATCACGTTAATTCTTAGACATTGTTGAAGCGTCTATACTAGCAGCCGACATATCAACACAGAGTGAACATTTCGGTTAAACATAATCAATCAACAGGAAGTGATGCAAATCACCTTAAGAGGAAAGATACAAACTTCTGATGAAAAGGGGATGTGGTGTAGACACAGTGAGAAATATCAGTGTGAAAATCTCAACTCCATGTTATGACTTTCTGTGAAATCGGCTCCCTGCCGATTGCCTCCATTTATCTAATATCAAATCAATGTGCACCGTGATGGCGAGCTACCTAGAATGGTGGCCACATTGCAAACTTGACTGACTGATAGAATTCAGTTTGCACCAAAGAAGGACTAGATACGTCACACTAGTTACTAGTGTCCAATCAAAATACCCACTACAGTCTTACAGGAGGTCAGTCGCGAGCCCGAATAGCTCAGTGGTAACGTCTCTGACTGCAGCACTGGGTGACGCGGGTTCGAATCTCAGAAGGGACATGAGTTCCTTCAAGGTTGCAGATACGCCTTGCTGACTTGAGTGCCAACTAGCACGAAACCTAGGTTCAAGGCTGGGCTTCCTGCCGATTGCCTCCAACTATCTAAAATCTGTTGATTATCAAACGAAATGTTTACGTAATATTGACTCAAAAGTGGTAAGTCATTGGAACCCACTATTAAAGTGTTATCTACTACAGTTTGGTTTACACTGATTTACCATTTACCTCCAACTAAAACATACACTGATACATTATAAAAGACTTCACAGTTTATCATTTGTCTACTAGACATAAGTTAGTCGTTACAAACTAATAAGTTCATCCTTTCTGTCTGATATAAGAACAAGAATTTAGATAAGTTATTAACGCGTGATGCACCATTGTTTATTTTTGCTGATAATGATCACAGAAATATTTTATCACAAAGATGTTGACTTATATGTTACAAGAGTTTGCCTTTTCTCTTGTAATTATCTTAATAAGAAGTGAACTGCAAAATCAATATCAATGCTCACTCACCATTCTAGATTTTCATTGTTATATATTGTGAAAGAAAATGCTTTTTTTCAATGTTAAGATGTTTTAATTTTATATTGGTCAATAATTTCCTTAGTTATGCACTAATTATTATTATTTTTTGTACAATTTTGATCCTGATAATGATGATGATTATGACGACAATAATGGAGAATACTCAATAGTCTTTCTCATTGATTTATCGATTTTAGTTTTTTTTTAAATTGCTCTTATCAGTGTATTATAAATGAAGATGATAAGGAGGAGGTTGTCAAATATCCAGATCGCTGAGATCCTGGAGTTATCTTAGAAAACTAAGCCTAATACTCAGAATAGTATGCAGAACAACAGAAAACTGTTGGGCAACACGACTGTTTATTCTTCAATTGATAACGAAACAGATTTACAATGGTTAATCTGTGCCAAAGTCTGTAAACAAACGTTAACATAATGTACAACAATACTTCTGATCGTATTTCTGCAATCTTCTATCAACCAGTACACTATTAAGCAATGACAGCTTTCTTGTCTCCCGCCACTATGGAGACCATTTTGAACAAACAAACGATTCAATGTTCATTAGCATTGACAGAGGTTTAGGGATATTGTGCAGAGTTACATGTAGAAAAAGTTTTTTTTTTATATCAGCTGTTTAATACACTGAAATTATAATCACTTGAAGTAAACAGAACAACAACTTTTCATGTTAAATATGATATACGCGTCTAATTTGTTTTCTAGATTTTACGAATTAGAAAATAGTTGCTTACATTTAAAAGTCATAAACTTATTTTAATCTTTCGTTAATGAATAAGCACAATACACTGATAACACTAGAAGTTAATTGGTGGATGGTGACTAGCAGTAGGATCCAGAGTGGTCATTTTGTCCGATTTAGGACTCGTCAGCTGATGGACGCACCTTCATTCCGTAGTGAGTGATGGTATTCCCACCGAGGCTCGAACCCAGTGTGTATAGTTACAAACACTAAAGCGTTATCCACTAGACCACTTGGGCCACGACAGCCACCTCTTGTGCAACGGGTCATATTAATTATCTAACTGAACCTGAGACCGAGCACTTCGGTCCATTCAATCGACGGGAAAATCGAATTAAATTGATAACACTAGTTGTTGAATCGAGTAAATGGCTTGAGTACTTCGTTAATTATCATGAAAAGAAAGTAATTCATAATTACAGAGTGAGGTTAACATAATTTGAAATGGGTCATATTGATACGGATACGTTCATTTCAGTTAGTTTCGAAAATGTGAACAATTCTCTAAAAACTCTTTGGATAGTGTGAAAAAAACCCGGTGAAGTTGTCTTACTTGTTGATGAAATGTTGATTATCAGATACTATAACCTGAGAAATACCATACAGTGAACACTTTGCCAACCTTCATTTGTTTATTCCTCTTTCTTTATAACTTGCCAATATCTGATGACTAAAGAAAGACTTAGGGCTGCCCTTTATACAGCATAATATGCAACTAGGCTAATATTCAAAGAGGAAACAAAATTAATATTGTCATGTATACCCTCATAGCATCTGAATAACAGTGTCGCATCTCATTGTGTTTACCATTTTATGTGCATATGTGGTGACAAGTACATTGGGTGGACCAATCAATCTCTGTAGGTTGTGGATAGATAGCACATTTATAAGGAGCTAACTCAATTCTCCCTAAAACAGATGCCTGACGTCATTTATCAAAAGGAAATTTATGGAGATGGGTCGTGAAGTTGGTTTTAGCATTCCGTCTAGATTCATATGAAAATAAGTTGAAGACTTAGTCAAAAAATTACTAATTTTCAAGAGTTGGTTTGTAAGGATTAGATTCGTTTTCTCGAGTCTGACCACGGTTTGATATCAGTTAGAGAACCATTGAAAACCAAGGAGTGTTGGACAGCTGTTTCATCCTAGTTTGGGAATCATCGGCAGTACGCACTAAATCACGATTTAGTAGAAGTCAGAATTCATGGGCCATTGAATCGGATCCCAGTGGCTGAATGATATATGAGCTTGCCTTGTTACCGGAAGGTCCTGGGTTCGAACCCCATTGGGTGCGTACTGCCGATGATCCGTAAACTAGGATGAAACAGTTGTCCAGTACTCCCTGTTGGTTTTCAATGGTTCTCTAACTGACATCAATCCGTGGTCAAACTCGAAAAATCAAAAATAATTAAACCAATTCTGTGTTCAAAAAATTATCTGTTATTACTATGAACCTGACTCGACAATCCGATTTTAAAACCAAGGGTTATTTTGCACAATAATATTTGCATCCCTTTTCTTAATTTTATTCTCTTACCTGATCTGGAATTTCGATCCCTAAATAAACATTTTGATCTATACTAACTCATTCTTGACCTTTCGTACTCGGTTATCTGTTATGTGTTTATGACAAGTACCTGTGTGATGAGAATTTCCGAAATGTGTTGCGCAAATACATAATATTTTTCAGATAAATTACGTCTTCTTACGCAACAAACTAACCAAGAGCCGATCGCTCAACAAATATGTAGGAGAAAATGCAGATGGATTCGGCATACGTTGAGGAAGCCATTGAATGACATCGCGCTCCATGCCCTCGAGTGGAATCCAAATGAGAAGCGACGAGTGGGGAGTCTAGGGTGACATGGAGATCATGCAAAGAGGAGGAGATGAGAGATTATGGGCAATTGTGGACCCAGCTGAAGAAGACAGCAGAAAATAGAAAGTGGAGATGTGTTGTAGGAGCCTTATTTTGCAAAATTTATAAAGGGAACCAATTGCTTTATGCTTTTCTTATTTGTTTAGCTATTTTTTCACTTGTTTATCGCGGTTGCAGTGTTTTATTTCTCTACTTATGTCAAATAAAAAAATATCTTTGAGATTTCCGTATTTTCAGTCTTTCAATATGCGGAATATATG